ACTAGGGAAATGTTTACTCAGAATTTTTCTTCCACACTTGCCCCTGCTAACATCTCAGTAAATGAGCTAGTAGATCATTTTAATTCAAAAATTAAAAATGTTATAGATGCCATTGCTCCAACTAAGGTAAAAGAAGTGTCTGGCAAGAAAATATCTCCATGGAGAAAGGCCATGACCGTAAAAACAGAAAAAAGAGAGTGTCGAAAAGCTGAACGCAGGTGGCGAAAAACAAAACTCCAGGTTCACTTTGAAATCTATAAAGAGAGACTTGGCCTTTATAATTTGGAATTGAAAAATGCACGACAATCGTTCTTCTCTGACATCATTACCAAAAACAACGGACGTGCCTTGTTTGCTACCGTCGACAGACTAACTAACCCCCCAGTGTCAGTAGCCTCTGAATTTCTATCCACCAGGGCGTGCAATGATTTTGCCTCCTTTTTCACTGACAAAATTCAGAAAATCAGACAAGCAGTCAGTGCCTCTGCATCAGGAACAGCAAATGTGTTGTCCCTATCTCCACTTAACATCAATTCAGACATCATGACACAATTCCATCAGATAAAAACCTAGAGGACATTATTCAACTTCTGAAATCCTCCTCCTGCTGCCTTGATATTATTCCAACAGGATTTTTCAAAGATGTTTTTCGTTGCATGGCCTCAGATCTACTTCATATAGTAAACAAATCTCTTCACTCAGGTATTTTCCCACAGGCCCTGAAAACTGCAGTCATTAAACCGCTCTTAAAACATAATAATCTAGATGCTTCAGTAATGAACAATTACAGGCCCATATCAAACCTGCCATTTCTAGGTAAAATCATTGAAAAAGTTGTTTTTCAACAGTTGAGTAATTTCTTGCATTTAAATAACTGTTTCGATGTGTTCCAGTCAGGCTTTCGTCCAAACCACAGCACTGAGACTGCTCTTGTAAAGGTCTTTAATGACATCCACTTAAACACAGACAGTGGCAGAACTTCAGTGTTAGTATTATTAGATCTCAGTGCTGCGTTTGACACTGTTGACCACAACATATTACTCGACCGACTAGAAAAACTGGGTGGGACTTTCGGAAACAGTTCTAAATTGGTTTGAATCCTACTTAAAGGACAGAAACAACTTTGTTTCTATAGGTAAATACACATCTGAGTTGACAAATATGACATGTGGGGTACCTCAAGGCTCCATCTTGGGGCCTCTTCTCTTTAACATCTACATGCTACCACTGGCTCAGATAATGAAGAACAACAAAATAAGTTACCATAGCTATGCAGATGACACACAAATTTACGTAACAATTTCACCAGGAGACTATGCTCCAATTCAAACACTGAGTAAGTGCATTGAACAAATCAATGACTGGATGTGTCAGAACTTTCTCCAATTAAACAAAGATAAAACTGAGGTAATGGTTTTTGGAGCCAAGTCAGAACGTATAAAAGTTAGCGCTGAGCTTCAGTCTGCAATGTTCAGAACAACAGATAAAGCCAGAAATCTAGGTGTAGTCATGGACTCTGACCTGAGTTTCAACAGTCACATTAAAACAGTTACTAAATCAGCCTACTATCACCTAAAGAATATATCTAGGATTAAAAGACTAATGTCACAGCAGGATTTGGAAAAACTTGTCCATGCCTTTATCTTCAGTAGACTCGACTACTGTAATGGTGTCTTCACAGGTCTCACTAAAAAATCTATTAGGAAGCTGCAGCTGATTCAGAACGCCGCTGCTCGAGTCCTCACTAACACTAAGAAAGTGGATCACATCACTCCAGTTCTGAAGTCTTTACACTGGCTTCCTGTGTGTCAAAGAATAGATTTCAAAAATACTGCTGCTGGTTTATAAAGCACTGAATGGTTTAGGCCCAAAATACATTTCTGACCTCCTGCTAAATTATGAACCATCCAGATCTCTCAGGTCTTCAGGGACTGGTCAGCTTTCTGTCCCCAGAGTCAGAACTAAACATGGTAAAGCAGCGTTCAGTTATTATGCTCCAAATATCTGGAACAAACTCCCAGAAACCTGCAGGTCCGCTGCAAACTCTGACTACTTTTAAATCCAGGCTGAAGACTTTTCTTTTTGTCGCTGCTTTTAATTGAACTATTCATATCTTAGACTGCACTGTAACTTTTATCCATGTATTTTTTCTTTTAATGTTTCTTTTATTAGCTTTTCTTTTTAATGACTGATTTTAAATGCCATTTTCTTAATGTCTTTCATTTTTTGTAAAGCACTTTGAATTGCCTTGTGTTGAAAAGTGCTGTATAAATAAACTTGCCTTGCCTTGCCTTGCCTTGCCTTGCCTTGCCTTGCCTTGCCTTGCCTTGCCTTGCCTTGCCTGCCTTGCCTTGCCTTGCCTTGCCTTGCCTTGCCTTGCCTTGCCTTGCCTTGCCTTGCCTTGCCTTGCCTTGCCTTGCCTTGCCTTGCCTTGCCTTGCCTTGCCTTGCCTTGCCTTGCCTTGCCTTGCCTTGCCTTGCCTTGCCTTGCCTTGCCTTGCCTTGCCTTGCCTTGCCTTGCCTTGCCTTGCCTTGCCTTGCCTTGCCTTGCCTTGCCTTGCCTTGCCTTGCCTTGCCTTGCCTTTGAATCTTCTGAAGTTTGAGACTCTGAAGGAAGGGGGAAACACTTTTCTGTAAAGCCAATCCAAAAAAGCAAATATGCATATAGGTTAGTGCTACAAGCCATCTGTGTCGCAGATCATTTTTCATGTTTATTCCACTTAGGGAGTTGTTTTACAAGTTATTATCCCAAAGAAATATACATAAGTCAGCCAGACATGTTTTAAACAAACTTTTGAAATAAGCGAACTTATCTTGAAGAGAAAACAATTAAATAAAATGTAATGTTAAATTACATTTTACATTACAGACCAACTTCAAGGTTGAACTTTGACATGGCGCAGTTGTTTCTCACACATTATTGTTTTCATTTTGCAATGTGGGATCATTTCAAGAGGTGTTAGAAAACAGGAGTACACGTACATTCTCAAAAAAACAAGAATTATTTAATGTATACATGTGGGGAATTTGGCACAGAAGTGCTTTGAAGCTGGATGTTACAAATTGAGTTCTAGCAAGCTGCAATTATCCTTTTGGTTTCACAAAGTTGTTCAGTAGGTACAGTAGGGTTGGTCGTTCATTCATGGCAGGGTTAGCCTCTTCATGTGCTTCACTGGGCTCAAATATATTGGGTTTTTAACTCTTCCTCTACTGATCACCTATTCTTCACCTGTGGCCACATCCCAACGTCTCTTTCTCTCTAGAAACAACACAATAGTACTTGTTTACTAACCCCTTTTTCACAAGGGCAAATTAAAGCTATCTGGCTGTGTTAACGCTGTGTGATAAGAAGGTATCAGAGAAAGGGGGCCCTAAAGGAAACCCAGCTTAAATGTTTATATTTGTGTTGATATGTTACTAATCTTTATCAGCCTATATGTAATCTAGATAAGCCTCTATCTGGGGCATTGTTCAAATCCACCGAGCCTTTGTCCTTCCTTTAAATCTTAAACTGACATGACCTGCAGTGGGTCGTTCTGTGATGTTTTCCTAACAATTGACTTGTGTAGTCTGTTAGGACACTTTGTTTGCTAAAAGGTGGCCTATTGTGTGTTTTTAGAGCTATATTTGTAGGGTATTATTTTAAGGCAGAAGGAGTAATGAGATGGAGACGTGCAGTGAACCATGCTAACTCCTATACCTCCTCCTGCTTCTTCCTGTTTGTCTTTCTTTTTACTGCTCCCCTATTCGGCCATATTTCATTCTCTTCTCAGACGGACTCCCTTAAATTCCATCCTCCCTCATTCCCCAATTTCCTCCCTTTCTCTCTTCTTACCTTCCTTATTTGTTCTCTCCATCACCCCCACAGTTTCCTCCCACCTTCCCCAGTCAATCAGCCGGCTCCTTCACCTCCCTCTGTTTTCCTAGTGTGCCGTTTCACAGTAGAGCGGCTACTGAGCGGTCAAGGTCACGCCTGATTTGATGTCTCGCCACGACATCTCCGTTGATATCAGCGTGGCTTTGTGTTTGCTGCCTGGGCACTCTATTGTTGTCTGTGATAAAATGTCAATGTTTGAGCTAAGCCATGATAATCTTCTTAAAGGTCAGAGGGTACTGTGTGTGTTAAAAGCCATATTTGGATGCTTCATTGGTTCTGAGAATAGCAATGAAAAAGAGTAGGTAGCTGCAAACATGAAGGTGACGAAAAGGCATTTACAAGCGGTCATTGTAACCTTGATCCTAAACCTGTTGACACACCGACTTCCCTTTAAATACTTCCGTCTCTCAACACACCTAAAAGTCACTTGTCAAGCAGAAATGAAGACAAATACCAATAATTCTGTTTGCATTTTCTCAACATTAAGAATTAGCATCTTTCCTAAATTATTGTAAAGGCAACATTTGGGGGTTTGGAATAGAGGAAAAAAGAGGTCACTTTGACCTCAAGGAATTTCAATGTGAATTTATTTACTACTTTTTGACATTTCATAGGGACCGCAACCTTCTTTAAGGTGGACCTGAATACAAGCGGGTAACAATGGATGAATAATAGCCCTTGATAGGAAGATACATTATATATATCTTAGATGTATCTCTGCCAATGTGGATCAGATTGACCTATCAAAGGAAACATCTGTTGGTTCTAACATGTTGGATAATAATTAGTCTACAATAATTTCATATTTTTTCCTAATTTTAACCAGACAAAAAAAACTATATTTTTCTGCTGCTGAAAAAAACTAAAACTTTTCTGATAGGAAATGAAAAAACCTTCCTAAGGAGGTCTCTATAATGTCAACCAACCCACCTGTTTACACCTTTAGTAATCAGATTGTTGTACACCTTACTTAATCAGTAAACTTTGTGTCCTGTAACTAGTCTGAAGAGGAGTTGCGTGTTAGGAGGATAGTGAATCAACATATGTATTTATCTGACAATAACACCGTTTTAAATATAGTTTGATCATCTCAATAACTCCCACTCTCCTCTTTTACCCTCCAGGTCCTCCCAGGGTGTCGGAGCGGGTGGCCCACCGGCAGAGCGTCCGTCTGGGTCGCACCATGAAGCTGCCCTGCCCCGTGGAGGGAGACCCCCCGCCGCTCATCATGTGGACCAAAGATGGCCGCAACATCCACAGCGGCTGGACGCGCTTCAGGGTGCTGCAGCACGGTCTGCGGATCAAAGAGGTGGAGCCTGAAGACGCAGGGACCTACATCTGCAAGGCCACCAACGGGTTCGGCAGCGTGAACATCAACTACACCCTCATCGTTATAGGTAAGTGAAAAACAATGTGACTGTGAAATGAGACGCATTCAAATTCAATTTGAATTAGTTTGAGGATTGGTACTAAAATCACTTTTACTTTGGACTTGATATGTTACTTAGAACTATCAAACAACTTTTTTGAAGATGTATCTTCGTTGAGACCCGGGCTGTGTGACACTTTTCAAACTTTCAAAATCGTGATTGGACAAGAAAGCTACACTACTAGTCTCTTATTGAAAAAGTGTGGGGCTGTGTTTACGCGTGTGTTTGTATGATTACAGACGGTTTCCATCCTAGCATCTGTTTTTTCAGGCTTTATTTTTCTTTACTTGTTTTTCATTCTGGCTTGCTTGCATTGATTCTGCTGTGTGAGTTTCTGGGACATAAGAATACGTTTTTTTATAAATGATAACATTAATATAATAAAGAAACAAACTATGAAACATATACAACAGCAAACCTTGAATTCAATTCAAATGACAGACACTAAAGACAGCTGGAGAAGATACAATGCCAGTTCAGTGTAAATATGTATGTTTTCGACTGGTATAATTAGCCAGGTTTGGTTTCTGGGGCCATTATACAGTAATCAAATCTGTGTAATTCCCCAGACAATGAAGCGCTGCTTTTGTCTGAGTTGTTATGCTTTGTGCGCGTGTCTGACCACAATTGTTGTTCTTGTGTGTTCCTGTATGATTATGAATGAGCAGGAAATGTGTGTGTGGGTGTGTGTCTCCATTTCAATGTCTCTATGAAAGACACATTGTTGGGCGTTTTTTTTCCAACACGGCATCTGAAACACTGAGTCAGTTTTCAGTGTCTGATTGTAAATATCTTTATGTTAAGTTTTTCAAACTTGTAATTTCCAAAGTGGTGGCTATACCCTGTGACAAACTTCTTGTTTCTACACAGTTGAGACTCAAATAGCTTCTTCCCTTAACTTCTTCCATGTAAACAAAATACCTGGCAGGTCAACGGTGTGTCAGTGCGCATTAACACGTGCAAATCAGTGTGTGTATGTCTCTACAGCCCTCTGTGTGTGCATCATTCCATGTGTTTGTCAACATGCCATCCTGTGTGTGTGTGTCTGTGTACAGTATGTGTGTGTGCATGTGTGAATCTCTCTATGCCCGCCGTCGGCACTTCAAAGACAGACTTGTGCAAAATGCTGCGGTACAGATATAACCTGCCAATATTAATGTACCAAAGTGGGAATCTTGAAAGAATTCTGCTGGCAAAAAAACCTCTCAAATGTTAGGGTTTACAAAAAGACTCAATGCTTGTTTTCTTGGTATAGATGTAGCAATATCTAAAATATTATATATACAACTTTTGCTTAAACCACAAAAATGAAACATCCTTGAAAGTACCTTTTCTGTTTCTGTCAGGGTTGCCATCCGATTTCAGGTGCACAAATATAAATGTTTTGCTCAATTATTTGGATAATTGGCCATAAATTAAGAGCTTCTATTCTCCAGTAATCATTATCGGTCTGTGATCCAGAGCTGTATCGGTATTGACCTGAACTTCAAAGGCGAGCTGGCATACAGAGGGCAGCGGGGTGGGGGGGCAGCAGCTGCAGCTGAGGTCATCCAGGCAGACAGCTGCTGCCTCCCTCCCTCCCTCCCTCATTCACTCACACTCATTCACCCGTCCTTTTCATTCACTTTCATATATGCGTGCACACATGTGCTTCAGAAGCAATGAATTGAGTGAACCCTCATGAGCTACTTTGGTCTCATTGAACTCGAAGAATTAGTACCTTAACAAGAGAAATAAGGACTATAAGTAATCCTTTGACCATATGCCATCCAAACATGCAGAAAGCTTTCAATGTACATTTAAAACCTTCAGATAGGTGCAATATTGGGCTGTTTTGATGCACCTGCAAAAGTAAAGGTGTTGTAGACAAAATAACCTTCGAGTCCAGTATCTGCTCTGGAGAGTTCAAACAAAGTGTAACATTTCAGATTGCAGATGTTTAAAATGTTTGTACTCATCTTTACATAAACATTGTCCCATGGCAACGGGGCAAACTCAGCCTGCTGAGGAAGATGTTCTGATATATTTACCACAACAGCTATTAAATAGATATTGAAATGACATTGTGCTTTCAACTGCCATTCCAAAGTCCATTAATGAACTTTGAAAATAAATATTGAAGAACTTAAGTAAACATTTTATACAAATAATCGTATTTGAAACTTCATACCTAATCTCCAGAGCTTTTATTTTAGCACGTAATGAAAAAGATTCTGTTTAAAAATACCCTTAAGAAAACAAAACTTTAATAAAAAAAAAGGGTATTAAGACTCAAACGTTTACATGTCATTGCACCAAATCCCATTCAAACTGGGATCAAGAGAATTGCCACATGCTATCCAAGATAAGAGGCTACATGACAACTTTACTGTACCACAGATTATACAAATGGCACCCAGAGACACTTAGTGCTGCACCGGGTTAACCTTCCGAGAGGACCCTCGCTGTAATACAAGCCGTGAATCCTGCCATGGCATCTCCTTAGAGAGGCAGTTAGCGTGTTTTCATAGCTGGAACAATCTGCATAGCCAATGATGTTCAAAGCATGGATGCAGTTGTTCTGAGTTTCTCTCTCTGCTGCTTTTGCATTGCCTCCTCCTCCTCCTCCCCTAAGACTAATGCAGCCTAAGGAACGTCCAAGCAGTACATAAGAATACTCCTCCTCCTCCTCCCTCCTCCTCCTACCTCCTCCTCCTCCCTCACTCCTCCTCCTCCTCCTCCTCCTCCTCTCCTCCCTGCTTTCATCTCCTCTCTTCTCCTGTGTGGTCCTGCTGTAATTATTCTATGGCCGCTGCGCTTCACAGTAATGAGCCCACACCTGCGTCTTATTGTCTTTCCCTCTCAATTTCTAACTCTAAATATCTTTAGCACCTTTTTTCTATTAACGCTCAATCTCTGCACTCATTTCTCCATCTTTAGTCAGCCGGCTCGTTTTTCCTCAGTCACGCTTTAATTTCTTTCAATATTTTCACAGGTTCCTATTTTTTCCCCCGGACGTAAGAGCAATTTGATTGCCATAAAACATCCTCTGTACCGCTGCCCTGTGGTTGGGAGTGATGGAGAGGCGTTTGTGTGAAGGCAGGCTTTTGTTGGCGGGGCAAATTAGAAGATTCCTTGAAGTCTTTTATCGTGTGTAGGTTGGCAAATGTTTGCGTGAGTAAATAGTCTTTGTGTGTGTGTATACGTGCTTGTTTATCTGAGAGGTTTTGTATGCATGCGTTGGTGTATGCAGATTTATGGGACCACCAGTAAAGAGAAACTCTGAGAAATGTTTTTGTTATGCTCAACAAACATCAATGTCCTCAAAATATCTGTTCGCAAAGAAAGCTCTCATTTCTTCTCCCAGTCTATTTTTCTCTCCTGTCAATCTTTTGTAATTATTTTCATTCTCCTGGAAAAGTAAATGATGAAAATGATATTTTAAAACAGATGTGATAACAATGGGAGCGTGTCTTCAGCACATTTAGGAAGTTATGCGTAAGAGAGAAGGAAATGTTTGAATGAAAATCTTCATCAACTCACTTGTGTCTGATGGTGTGTGAGTGTTTGCATGCAGGTTCATTTATAGGTGACTGCTGTGATGATTTGTGATGATTTAATAGCCCAACCTCAGAAGCTGACATCTGGCCATAATTGTCGAAACAAAGAGGGAAAAGAGAGGAAGAGAAAGATATCAAACATAGAAATACTGTATGTCTGAATGAATGAGCTTTTGCATGATTTATATTCAACAAGCTGCAGATGCATGATGAATGTTGAAATAAGAAAAATGGAAGTGCGAGATGGAACGTGACAAACGGAAAATATACACAAAGCAGTTCTTGGTAGAGGATTGTTTCAGAAAAATCATTCTATTCAACATATTTTTCAAACTGAGCGCTGCAGTTTTATGCCAGGATTAGTCCTATAACACTGCCACATGCAACTAAAATCAACTATCACTTAATACAGACTGACACCATGAGGTCACATGGCTCAATCCTGTATGTCACGACAATTCAATGTGAAGGTGCATGCAGGAAAAATGTTTAAAGAATGTTGCTTCAGTCCAGTTCTTGGAAAGCAAATCACGCTCCTTCATTCAGGTTTATTCCGTCTCCATTGAACTGCATTGCATGTGTGAGACTGCAGCTGTCTTCCGGCCAAAAACGCACACGGCCTGATACCTCCTCTGTTTTTGTCTTCTCACATTACGCAGTTTTTAATTTAGATATCTGGTGCCTCGTCTAGAGAGGATGTAGAGGTGGCCAAGGTTTGCAGCCTAATTGGTATGAGTCATACACACACACATGTAATTGCACAGTGCCTTAAAATCTCAAATAACACAACCTAACCCTCACCCACCTACGTACAAACACACCAGGGCAGCTGTGCCTGTCTTGCTTTATTTTCTGTGTGTTTTCGTGTGTGTGCGTGCATGGGTTAAGCGTTCTTACCGCCAGATTCTTCTGCTCAGGTTACACACACAGCACTTTCTCACTAATGGCAGAAAAATGCATGGAGTGAACCTGGAGCTGCAGCTCGCTGGTTTTCAGGAACCGCTCAGTTGGTGTTCAGTTCGAGGGTTTGAGGCCTCACAGGGGATTTTCTTTTCCAGGCAGGTCTCAATCATGATTTACAGAACATGAAAAAGAAATCATCGAGTGGTTTAGCCCCCCTCTTCTTAAACTATAGTGTTGCCTTCACTAACCTTGAATCAAATCCCAGGTTTCTCCTGTGTTTCTCCTTTTGACTCTTTCTTGCTGCCTGGAAAAAATATACTAAAGTTTAGTGCTGCCTCCTCAGCTTATTATGCTTTATCGGTTTTTCCATTTCCCGTAGTGGGTTATGTCGGTTTTTTGTCCATGTAGATAGAATCAAATTGGGAGGGATGAAACCCTCTTTAATGGTCACACATGCAGAGCACACAGCACACACATTTAACCCATCCTAGTACTAGCAGGCTAAAAATCCCAAAGGTCACTCCAGAGGGAGTTTCTCTCCCACACAA